CAGCCCCGCACTAGCTGCTTCCCCCCAGCATACCAGGGAGATACGAAGCTAGTGTCCCCCTCCCCCCAGCATACCAGGGAGACGCGGAGCGGCTTTTCTCGCCACGGAGGACGCGGGCGGAGGGACCGCGGCGTGTCTGGGCGGTCCCACCGCCTGTGTCCTCCGCGGCGAGAAAAGCCCCATTTGTAAGTAGGGATCCGACATAAGTCGGATCCATGTAACTCGGGGACTGCCTGTATATGGAGCTGAAAAAGTAGACCACAAATAAGTAAGGATAATAAACAAGGTCATGTGATCAACATTTAGTTTAACTGCACATTTAAAAACAAATCACAATTTTTTAAAGTCATGAGATGTTATTGTAATGGAATTTTCATGCAGAATCCTTATTTTCACTTTGGGGAACCCCATTTGGGTTCTACCTTAATGGTCCCCAGTACTCGGTGTTGGCTGTGACGTCTCTGACTAGCCATGGGCCCAGTAACAGGACAGCCTTACACCACTGCACCTACTAACCCTAGGAGAGGCAGCAATTCCCAGCCTGAGCATACTCGAACCTTGCAGCACTAGTGCCTCCCAGTTCTCAGCGCCTGCCCTGTGCAGCTGCCGACCTTGCACTTAGGTGCCTCCCTCCTCCAGACGAGACCAAGGCTTTAAGGACCCAAGGGGCCCCCAATGCCCACAACCCCCCCAGCTAGCGCATAGACCTGCGGAACACGCAGCCTGGATGGTTTTGGAGGCCCGGGCGCCAGAAGAGTCTCCCTGATGAGCAGCCCACAACGTCCGCCCTCCCTCTAGGGGCTCCTAAGCCCCGGCAGCTTAACCCGCTCCCTCCTCCTCCCTGTCCCGGTGCCGGCCGCCCAGCGAATGCTGGGAGATGTAGTTCCTTCCCCCGCCCCAGAGCGGCTCTCCAGGTAGAGAGCTGGCTAGGGAACTACCGCTCCCGGGATCCCCTGTGGTCTCGGCTCCAGGGCGGGATCCCAGCAACCGGAGGGTGAGAGCTGACGCGTTGCCCCCTGTCTCCGGGCTCCCTCCTCCTCCCTGTCCCGGTGCCGGCCGCCCAGCGAATGCTGGGAGATGTAGTTCCTTCCCCCGCCCCAGAGCGGCTCTCCAGGTAGAGAGCTGGCTAGGGAACTACCGCTCCCGGGATCCCCTGTGGTCTCGGCTCCAGGGCGGGATCCCAGCAACCGGAGGGTGAGAGCTGACGCGTTGCCCCCTGTCTCCGGGCGCGGCGGTACAACGGATCAAATCCGGGGAGGGGGAGGGGCCTGGGCGGGCAGGGCGCCATGGTAACCAGGGCTCAGGCCGGGGCGGGGGGCAGTGAAAGCCGGGGGGGGGGCCCACAGCCCC